ATAGTGAAGGCAGGTTCTTCAATCCCATCTGAGAACAAGGGGCAACTAGTGAATAAATCCTCGTAGACATAGAGATGGGCATAGAGCAAGGATGGGAGGGACTGTGGAGGAAGCATGAGATCGGGGTCTCAGCCACACCTAAGCCAGAGCTTCTCACTGAGGAGGAGTACATTTTGTTTCCTCCCCAAAGGGACATTGGACAATGTCTGGAGACATTTTGAATTGTCACAACTGGCAGGGACTGTGGAGGAGAGAAGCATGTTATTGGCATCTAATGGGTAGAGAGCAGGGATGCTGCTAAACATCCTACAGTGTCCAGGACAGCCCCCCGCAACAAAGAATGATCCAGCTCCCAAAATATCAATAGTTCCAGGTTGAGAAACCCTGATCTAAACTGAAACCACTCCAGGCAGCTGGGCAGGACCAACATTCATGAGTACTGACAAAGGAGAGTCACCCTCCAGGCTTCTAAGAAGTCAAGACAGACCCTATCCACCTCCATCTATGGGCTCCCAGTATATTTATTTAAATGAAGAAATGCTATATGAAAGTGACCAGGTTCTCATTCAACAGATAAATACATTCAACACCTCTACTTCATTTGGAGGGAAAGATCAATATCGAAATTTCAGGGTCTTCATCAATATGAGGTTCAACCAAATGGCTGCTCCACCACCCCCTTAAGCCCTGTTCTCAGTGACTCTCAGCTAGGGAACAAGAAGAAGGAAATATCTGACTTTCAGGCTTTCTTCACTACTCATTGGTGGTGTGACGTTTGACAAATTACCTAATCTCTCTGAGTATCAATTACCTTAGTTGTCAATGAAGACACACATGTTTAATTAGTTCTATGTGTTAGGCATTTATACACATGACCTCGTTTAACCCCCAGGAGAGGAGGGGTGTGAAGTGGGTGTTGAAGGTTGAGTAGGAGTTGGTTCCCAGCAGAGGGAAGATGAAAGGGCATGCCAGGGAGGTCAAGTATAAAGGTAGGTGAGGACAACAGGGTGCTCCTCGGGAGGAGGGGAGAGTGAAGATCAGGACTGAGAATGATGGGAAGTGGTAGTCTGGAAGGGAAGCAGAGAATTCCCAAAGTCCTGTGCGCTGTGAACATGACATGACATCTCAGAAAGGGTCTGAGTATCCCTGCCTGTGCCCTCCAGCCCCCAGAGAACGTGCTTTTTCTCGGCTAAGAGCTATGTACGCCTTCATTTCCCAGCCTTCGGAGACATTAAGGCTTTGAGGGGCACTGTCCAATGCTATAACCACCAGCCACATTTGGTTACTTAAACTTAATTAAAATTAGACAGAATTTCGGATTCGGTTTCTCATTGACCATGGGCACATTTCAAGTACTCAGTTGCCACATGGAACCAGTGGCTATAAAATTGGTCAACATAGATATAGGATGTTCCCATCATCACACAAAGTTCTATTAGACCATGCTGGCTTAGAGCAATCTTGGCTGTTTTATACAGAACCAGCATTTTTCCTTTTTCTGTTTCTGTCTTGTCTGATCAGCCCATAAACACATTAGTAGTAAGAGGAACAGCAGATGCCACGCAGCTAAGGGCTATAAACTTTACCTCATTTAACCATTGCTGCAACCCCATGAACTAGATATTACTAACCCTGCTTCAGAGATGAATAAATGGAGATTCAGAAAGCATAAGTATTCAAGATATCCAAGGTTGGCACAGCTTATAACCAGCAGAGCCAAGAGTTGAACCCAATGCCACCCAACCCATAGCCCACACTCTTAACCAGCAAGCTACCCTGCCCATAGGAACCCATCAAGCAGCTAGATCCCAGGGTGAGCAAATTCACGGCAATAAGGCAGATATTTCTCTCAGAGCTGGTTATCACTGTCAGACTGGGAGCTGGGAATCTACTGAAATCTACTTCTGATTTTGCTCCTGGGTGAACAGAAGCAAAATAGCTCAACCTGGATGTTCCCCCTGGTCCCCTATTAAATATATTCTTTCCCAGCTCATCACACAGGACTCTTAAATAAGTTTGTGTTGACAAAACACTTCAGATGCATTATTTAAACAGAGGTGTTAAAACCTCTTAAAAAAGGAGGGGGGAGGAGGAGGATAAAAGCAGCTCTCCCTGAAGATTCACAACAGACATGCCATGTGAGCCATTTCGGAGTTGCCTAGGTAATTGTTCCCTGTAATTTTTGCAAACTGGCCTCATTCAGCAAGAGATGTTGGATTACTTGCTCTTTAGCCTCTGGCTTAGAGTAACTACTTTTTCCTGTCTCTGTTTAAAAAAGGAAGGATCTGGGCCAAGCATCAATCAGACCTAGTTTCAAATCCCAGCCCTTCTCTGTGCTTACTGTGGGACCCTGGGAAACTTACATAACCCCTCCGGGCTCAGTTTTTGCATCTGTAAAATAGGGCTTTTAATGTCTTTTGAGAGTAAATGAAGTCACTTCTGTGTCAGCACCTGGTATGTTACAGACGCTCGAAAAATATTAACCCCTCACCTCTGTTGAATCCCCATTTATAGTCGTGATATCACAGGATCAGGCGTTTCAGAGCTGAGAGGGAGCTGAGTGGCATTTAGGGCAGACATCTCAACAGACAATCCCTCTGTTTATCATCACGTAGGTAAACCATTGGCTTGTGAAATGTCTAATCAAGAACCACTCCCTTGTGTTTTGGTGACATTTTCAAGAGGGTAAAACAGAATGACAGAATGTTCCCTCTGACAATTGCAGAACTCTCCACGCAGAAGAGTGGAGGTGGCTCTGACGCAGGCCACCAGTGCTTTATGACACAGCAGGGAGGGAGGTCTAGCTGGCCCTGAGGGAGCAGCCAGAGGGGCCACTCAGGGCCATACCCTCAGAGCTGGAGCCCTGACTTCCAATTGATCCCAAATGATTATCAGCACCAGACTAGGGGTCGGGGAAAATGATGGGACCAGGATTATAAATCCCAAAAGCTGGGAATGTTAGAACAGAGGACTAGGTAAGGGTCAACCTCGACACCTGGGACCGAAACCAGGAGGGACCCCAGAGCAAGCCACGGTGCCCAAAGCTGGGGAACAGACAAATGCTATAGTCAGAGTAAAAGTGGATGGGAGGGTTAAAAAGAGGCCTGTTGTCATGAAGCAGGAGGGCAGAGCTCAGAGGGAGGAAAGACAGAGGTGAGGCGGGGCTGGTCAGAAGGTCTGGATTTTGATGCAAAGTCAGTTCCATCACAGCCATGACTTCTGTCCATCTTAGAGGATGACCAGGCAGTGGAACCTAGCTGAGATTGTCTCCTCCTGAATCCGAGTTCAAGAGCAGAGAGCCAGGAAAGCTTTGCAGTTAAGAAGGCAGCATTTAGAGTCAGGAACAAGTCTGGGTTTGAATGCCAACTCCACTGTCCGTAGCTGTGTGACTTAGGCTAGTGATTTAACCTCTCTGAGCCTCAGTCTCCTTGTCTGATGATGATTATGAGGATTATGATTATAATAATGAAGATGCTAATGATGGCGACAGTGGAGGAGGATGGTGATGCTGGTAGTGATGGTGATGATGATGAATAGGATGATGTAAGGAAAGTGATGATGGTAATGATGAGAGTGATTATGGCCATGGTGATGGTGATAGTGATGGTTATGCTGATGAGGAGAAGCTGGATGGTGATGATCACAAGAATGATGGTGGTGGCAGTGGTGATAGCAATGGAAATTTGGGTGATGATGGTGATCTTGGTGATGCTGGTGATGATGATGGTGATGGTGATGATAGCGATGTTGGTGGTGATGGTGATGATGGTGATGATGGTGGGGATGGTGGTGGTGGTGGTGATGGTGGGGATGGTGGTGGTGGTGGTGGTGATGGTGGTGATGGCAATGGTGATGGTGGTGATGATGATGGTGGGGGTGGTGGTGATGATAGTGATGTTGGTGGTGATGCTGGTGATGGTGATGATGGTGGTGATGGTGATGATGGTGGTGATGGTGATGACGGTGATGCTGGTGATGGTGATGATGGTGATGGTGGTGATGATGGTGATGGTGATGCTGGTAATGGTGATGGTGGGGGGGTGGTGATGCTGGTGATGGTGATGATGGTGATGATGGTGGTGGTGGTGGTGATGGTGGGGATGGTGGTGGTGGTGGTGATGGTGGTGATGGCAATGGTGATGGTGGTGATGATGATGGTGGAGGTGGTGGTGATGATAGTGATGTTGGTGGTGATGCTGGTAATGGTGTTGGTGATGGTGGTGATGCTGGTGGTGGTGGTGGTGATGATGCTGATGAATGATGATAATGAGAGCCTCCACTTCAGAATGGCTGTGAAGAGTGGGCTGAAAAACTGTGACCCTGAGCATCTTAGTGTCTGTCTTGCTCACACCATCTATAAAATGTGGCTAATATTCATCCCTGCCTCATAGAGTTGTCACAAGGATTAAATTAAAACACTTGTAAAGTGCTTGACGTATAATAAGTGCTTAATAAACACTAGCTATCATTTTTAATAGTCTTATTATTTTTGTTGCTCTGTTCCCCTCATTTTCAGAATCATTTCTGTTTCTATTGGTGTAGGTATCATTAGTCTCATTATCAGTGCTTATTCAGAATTAGGATGACTTATCACCCTGGCCCCTGGGACTTGTTTTCTCCCCTATCTGTCCTGCCTCCTACATCTTAAGTCGTCCAGTGGGTCTGCCGGGAGATGAGCCTTCTGTGTCCCTGGATCTTTGAAATGAGGAAGTGGGAAGGGAGGACCAAAGCCATGTCATGGCCCTCTGGAAGTGATGTCCACAAAGGTGGGTGCATGCCCACCATCAGCACCGATGTCAGTGATGATGGGGCTGCCTTCCCACGTGTTGCTGGCGGTTCTGCTGAGCAGCAGGCTGGGCACCCACAGTGTGCTGGCTCCACATAGAGTCCTGTGGGTGAAGCGTGGAGGTGCTGTACAGACTTGGGACTTTTAGAACAGGGCCATCAGCCTGTCCCTCCTGATGTCCTATCTTTCTCACTTCCTCTACCTTGCCTTTCAGAGGTGTGGACGGCAAGTCACACAAACCACTGCCCCTCAGCGTGGAGAATGACCGAGTCTTCAGTGACCTGTGGGGGAAGAGCAATGTGCCCGTCATCCTCAACAACCCGTATTCAGAGAAGGAGCAGGTAAGTGGGTGGTACCAGCTTGGCTCCCACACTCCATGGCTCCCTGAACCTTCCCCGGTGTGAGGATGAAGGGAGGGATGCCAAATGTCAAACCATGTTGGGATGGAAATGAGCCACCACGGCTGGAGAGCTCAGGGGCATTGAGGCCAGGAGCATGTGTCCTGGGATCCGGATTTTGCCTTTGTTTTGCTTTGTTCGTGATCTTGCCATTTTTCAAATTTCAATTCTGTTTCCACCAGCAAAGGCACTCCCATGCCATTCACATCACAAATTTAGCAGGTAAAGATACATGGTAAAAAGGTTTCCTCTCTCGCCTAATCCCAGCCACACAGTTTCCCTCCCCAGAGGCAAGCAATATTTATCGTTTTCTGGTCCTTTCAGCAATACTTTACACGTAGACTGACAAATACACACACACATTATTTTCACACAAATGAGAGCACTTTATACATATTGCTCTGCACCTTGCTTTTCACTTGTCAGCATATCTTGGTGATTACCCCCCAATTCGTAGGGGAAGAGAGTCCTGGTTCTTTTTCACAGCTGTATAATATTCCATTTTATGGCTCTGCCCAAAACCTACTGAGCCGGTCCTCCGTAATGGACCCTTAGGTCATTGTCAATATCTTGCTATGACATTGCTGTAATGGATGACATTGCCTAAACGTCTCGTGTGGCACATGGGCAGGGTTTTCAATAGCATAAATTCCTAGAAGTGAAATTGCTGACTCAACGATCATATGCATTTGTGATTGGGGCAGAAATTGAGAAATGGCTCATCATAAAGATTGCCCCAATCCTACCAGCTAAGCAGGAGAGTGGTGGTGTCCCCACAGCCTCACCAACCTAATGTATTATCAAACTTCTCAGTCTTTGCCAGTTTGCTGAGACGTGTTTTGACAACTGAGTCAATATTGTTTCTGAGCATGGAGAGATTTGGCTAGAGATCAGGAGTGCCTCGTTCTCACCTGCTTGGGCAGCCCACAGTCCAGGCCAGTGAGACCCTATTAAAGCATATGAATTTCCCACCCATCCTCTGCACTGCAGTGAAGTACGGGAAGAATGATGAGTGGGAGGTCAGAACAGGGAGATGGCCCATGTCACTCGGCAAGGTCACCTTCTTCTCTCCACCTGCCTCTAGCTCTGGATGGCATGGGGCAGGTTGCCAGGTTCTGTCTTCTCATGCATCTGTATGGATGGCACCTTTTGCTACCAGCTCACCTGACCAAAGCCTCACTACGTAGCCTTCCATGGGGAGGATGGGACATTTCAGAGCCTCAGTGGGGATTGCTTTCCTTAGCTGCTGATAGCTGGCCAGGAAGATAAGGAAGGGCGTCAGGGATTCTGTGGTAGGTCAGACCCATGCTCCCCCCAGCTAGTTACTCACCCTCTTGCAATGGCATCTAGGGATGCTTGGAGGAGAAGCATCTATATAGATGTCTACTATGCTGTCCTCAGAACTCAGGGCAACACTATGAGCATGAGGGGGCTATTTTCCATTCATGATTAAATGAACAAATAAAGTTAACATTTGTCTTTGTATTTTCTTTCTTAACTGAAAGGAAAGAGGTATTGCCATAATTCAAATCCTCCCAAGACAAAAGAAGAACAGAAAGAGACAGCCTCAGGCTAGATCCAGGCTCTGGATGTGCTTTGTTAGGTCTGCACTGTATTGCCCTAAGGGACAATTTGTATTTGTACTTTGAATTTACTGCCAATGTTTTGAAATTTTATATAAATATCATATTCACAGCTCCTCTTAAAAAATGTGGACACGCTGACCACCTCGAGCTTGTGTTCTTATGGGACAATAATTTGCACAGACTGAGTAGCAGCTGCTCCTGTAGACAGAGCATGGGCTTTCCAGTTTGCCACAATCCCCACCACTCCCTATCGTGTCCCTCCCCTTAAGACCATTGTCTTTTGTTACTTTTTATAACATTAGTGCTATTGATTTTCTTAGGATGAAAGGGAAATATTTTTCTATCCATGACTTTATTATAAGTGGCAGGTAGAGATAGACCAGGAGGTTTGTATGTTTCAGGAAACATGAGAAAGATTTCATGTTTTATAAAAAATGAAGAATATTCTTTTTTTTTAATTTTTTTAAGAATATTCTCTTTTTTTTAAGATTTTTTATTTATTTGTTTGACAGAGAGAGACATAGCAAGAGAGGGAACACAAGCAGGGGGAGTGGGGGAGGGAGAAGCAGGCTTCCCACCAAGCAGGGAGCCCCATGCAGGGCTCGATCCCAGGACCCTGGGATCGTGACCTGAGCCAAAGGCAGGCGCTTAATGACTGAGCCACCCAGGTGCCCCAAGAATATTCTTTTTTTTAATTTAATTTAATTTTATTATGTTATGTTAGTCACCATACAGTACATCATTAGTTTCTGATGTAGTGATCCATGATTCATTGTTTTCTTTTCTTTTTTTTATTTGACAGACAGAGACATAGTGAGAGAGGGAACACAAACAGGGGGAGTGGGAGAGGGAGAAGCAGGCTTCCCGCCGAGCAGGGAGCCCGATGTAGGTCTCGACCCCAGGACACTGGGATCATGACCTGAGCCAAAGGCAGACGCTTAATGACTGAGCCACCCAGGGGCCCCGATTCATTGTTTTCGTATAACACCCAGTGTTCCATGCAGTATGTGCCCTCCTTAATACCCATCACTGGGCTAACCCATCCCCCCACCCCCCTCCCTTCCAAAACCCTCAGTTTGTTTCTTAGAGTCCATAGTCTCTCATGGTTCGTCTCCCCCTCCGATTTCCCCCCCTTCATTTTTCCCCCTTCCCTTTCCCAATGACCTCCATGCTATTCCTTATGTTCCACAAATAAGTGAAACCATATGATAATTGACTTTCTCTGCTTGACTTATTGCACTTAGCATAATCTTCTCCAGTCCCATCCATGTTGATGTAAAAGCTGGGTATTCTTCCTTTCTGATGGCTGAGTAATATTCCATTGTATATATGGACCACATCTTCTTTGTCCATTCATCTGTTGAAGGGCATCTCAGCTCTTTCCACAGTTTGGCTACTGTGGACATTGCTGCTATGAACATTGGGGTGCATATGGCCCTTCTTTTCACTACATCTGTGTCTTTGGGGTAAATACCCAGTAGTGCAATTGCTGGGTCATAGGGTAGCTCTATTTTTAATTTTAAAAAATGAAGAATATTTTTTTGTGTTTAATATGCAGCTGAGTATTCTGTCTTGAAATTAGGCAGCCTGCTTTGCTAATTGACCTTACCTATCTACTTGTCCCCTCCAGGTATCAGAGTTTGTAACTGCTGGTTTGCAGTAACTCCTGAGACCTGACTCACAGAGACAAAGCAGAGGATGCCTTCACCCCACCAGAAAGACCCTTAAAGTCACTGCTGAATTCTAAGCAATGGCAGGATGATGGCCATTTCCTTTTATGCTGTCCACCTCAGTTAGACTGTGATGGCTTAGAAACCATAACCTTGAACTGCAAGCCTGAGGAGTGGGGCTCTCAATATTGGGAATGGGGCAGGAGTGATTAATAAGACCACTGGTCCCCTTTACAGAGATTCATGATGCAATGATCAGTGTCTTAGGTTGGACAGGCTACGCTAATTCCAGAATTCCATAAACTGGGTGGCTTACAAACAAGAGACATTTATTTCTCACAGTTCTGGAGCCTGGGAAGTCTAAGATCAAGGCACCAGCAATTCAGGGTCTGCTGAGAGCCCACTTCCTGGGTCATGGCAGGGGTAGTCTTGCTGTGTCCTCACATGGCAAAAGGGGCATCTCTCTGGGGTCTCTATTATTTTTTTTTTTTTTAAGATTTTATTTATTTATTTGACAGAGACAGAGATAGTGAGAGCAGGAACACAAGCAGGGGGAGTGGGAGAGGGAGAAGCAGGCTTCCCGCCAAGCAGGGAGCCCAATGTGGGACTCCATCCCAGGACCCCGGGATCATGACCTGAGCCGAAGGCAGACGCTTAACGACTGAGCCACCCAGGCACCCCTCTGGGGTCTCTTTTAGAAGGTGATCTTACCACTTCCCCAAGGCCCCACCCCTAATACCCTTACTTTGGGGATTAGGTTTCAACATATGAATTTGGGGTGGGGGGGACTCAAACTTTCAGTCCATAGCCATCAGGGAGAGGTGCTGAGAACTTGCCTTAGGGCCCACTTAAAAATTGCTTGGAGAGGGAAAGAGGGTGCTGGGCAAAGGGGGAAAAACTACATCTTCCTGAGGTTAAGACAGGAAGAATTGGGTGCTCCTGGACGTGTGACATACAGATCGGCCGTGCTGGGATGTACATTCTCTCCTTTATCATCGGCAGATCCTTGGTGTCGTCTAGGACCAAAACCACCGGCCAGCAAGATCATCCTGGCTCAGCTGTCTGAGACTCAGTTTTCCAAATGTGTCTCGGAAATACAGCTGGACGAGGGTAGAGATCCAAGTGCCTTGTTATATTTGAGTCCCAGCCTCAGAGCTAAGGAAGCAGCCCTGTTACTTCCTGCTAGACATCTCCTTAGCCACGGTGCTGAGAAATGTTTCCCAGGCTGAGAAAATTAATAGAAAACATAATGTTCTTCTTTCTGTCCTAAAAGACCAGCGTATATGCTTAGCCTATTCTCTCCATGCTCAAAGCCACTTTACCTGGAGCTCCCGGGATCAGCTTCCTTCCTCCCAGTTGTAACCCACATTTGCTGCTTTTTTAGGCATCTGCGGGGGGGTTAGCATTGTTAATAATACAAAGAGAGACCCAGCCACCACCTGCTTTCCTGAGTCAGGAAGAGATAGAAGGAGGTAAAAGAACAGCTGGTCCGCATTTTCCCCAAGGACTGGGCAAAAGGCAACAGAGTCCAAGTGAAGCAGGGTGGATACAGGCTAGACAAGAGAAAGAACTTCCTGATTCAGAAGACTGGTAGCTCCCTGAAGGAATAGTGAGGTCTGCACCATCCTTCTTGATTCTCTCCTTTGTCCAGATTCAAGGAAAATCAGCCACAGAACCACCCTCTCTT